CTGCCCGTCACTGTGGTTCATCCCTGGGCCCTCTTCACGGAGCTCCTAGATGGCAGAGCACCCGTCAGTCACCCTCGTCACCCTAGAGCTCAGCCTCTTGGCCAGTATCCCTTGCCTCTAATGTTCATATGAATACAGGAATGCCTGAGTTAGATACCATAAGTAAGCGTGTGTATATTAGTGCATCTAGAGGAAGTTAGTAAGAAAAACAAAACTTCAAAGTGGCAAGGACTGAAAGGGGACCCTGCTCAGAGGCCTGCCCGAGCTCTGGGAAGTCCGCTGGCCTCCCTTCAACCCTCCCGCAGCGGAGCAGCCGTGCAGCCTTCCCAGGTAGATGCAGCGGGGTTGGGTTGAGCAAGACTGAAAAGAACAGTTCTGGCAAATCAACATACTTATGCAACTGATCTCAGCAGAGGCGGGCAGTGTAAATGAAGCTTCTACTTTTCTTTTTCCGGAGAACACTCTGTGCCAAGAGGCCCCCTTCAAAGATACACAGAAAGGTTCTGATGACATAAACATGTAAGTTCCGCTCCAGCTGGAGACTTTGGCTCATCCAGATGGACCACTCACCCAATTTTCGAGATGGTTCCAGAAGTATGAACTCCCATGTCTAGAGGACCGCTAGGCTCAGCGGTCGTGTGTTAAGCATGTCCCTGCCTTCCCAAGCTTATGGTCCATGTTGAAAGGAAAGGGAGGCATCCACATCCGGTGGACCCTCATTATGTGCCCTGCACTATGCTGTGTATGTACATCCTCCTACAGACCTTGAAGACCCAGGAAGGAAAGAGGAATAGTAACAATGCTCAGGCTCCAGAGAGATTCAGGAAACTTTTGCGAGGTCGCGCAGCTCCCCAAAACCGCCCCTACCTGTTCTCAGCTCCAACATGCATGTGCCTGTTCCTGTAGGGCAGGTATAACTGCAAGGGGTAGTCTGAGGAGGGGCGGCCACCTCTGGTTGGGGGGTGGTCTGGGAGCACACACAGACAAGGTGAGCTCTGGGCTGGGACTTGCAGGAAGGGGAACGTTCCACACAGGTAGGGTCAGGCAGCGGCAAAGTAAGCGGTGAGGAGGCCGGAGTCTAAGCGCCGAGGAACGCAACAGGTCCCTGTGGGGAGCGGGGTGGGGTGGCCTGAAGTGGGGACATTGTCGAGGGAGGTCGGTGGGGAACAAGCCGGGATGAGCACTGAGTGCCAGGCAAAGGGCGGGTGTGGGTCCTGGGGGAACAGGAGCCTACGGTGGGTGCTGCCAGAGGATGGGGAAGGACCTGTCTTGTTTGGGGACACGGGGCTGGGACGGAGGAAGGAAGTGGTGGGAAGGCCCCATAGCAGGTCCCCACAATAGTGTCATGGGCTCGCCCCCGGAGGCTGCTGAGCTAGACCTGGGTGGTGTCACTGACCAGCTGAGTGACTGAGAGCAAGCAGGTTAAACCCTAGGAGCCTCGGTTTCTTCAGGCGAAGTCTAGACACACAGAGCAATAAGGGAGAATCAGTAGGAGCCCTAAAAACAGCCAAGTGTTGTTTCTGACTCCCCCAATATTGGCTCCCTTTCCCTTTTTTCTTCTCCTTCAATATTCCCAGCATTTCCAGCCTTGAACCTTGGCACTTGACATTTGCTTTACCTGATCCTTCTTCCCCTTCATCTTCTCATTGGTGTCCGCACAAAACTCTTTTCCCAGGTGACAGTGCTCCTTACCGTTCCCATGCCCTCAGCAGCCTTCTGTACCACTGCTTGTTTGTTTCTCTAACCCTAACCCTATGGCAGTGCCTAACACAGAGTAGGTGCTCCGCAAATACTTGTTGAATAAACGAAGGAAGGAAGGAAGGAGGGAGGGAGGAGAAGGAGGGAGGGAGGGAGGAAGGGGTGAGTACTTATCCAGCCAGAGAAGGGGCACAGGCTTGGCTCTCAGAGAACATCTAGCTTGCACGATATCTTGAATGTCGTATGCTTTAAGCCCTCACTGGACACAGGAATCCCATCAGTCGTTCTACAGCACCAAGAACGCCTTGCATTCAATCTACACACACTGCATTTCCCTCCTGAGTGAACTAACTTACACTTGATTCTCTCCTTTGAGCAGGAATTTACTTGTTCTTGAGGCTGCCTTTTTCATCTTGTAACCTCTCCTACGTTTATGTAGAAAGAAGAAAAAGTACTTTGAGTAGAACTGGGGATCCAGTTATATTGGACCAAGCTGTAAATTGCAGGGCTCGCTCACTGCATCCCCGCCGAGTAACGCTGAGTCGCCCTGGGACTGGTGGCGGGAGAGATGGGTTTCATTTGCTTGGGTGAGGTGACCTGCCATTACCCCAGCTGAGGAATGCGACATCTGGCTCCCCACCACCTATGTGTGCAGAGCTAGTTGTTTGCACGGCGTATGTTTCATTTCTGTAAGGCGAGGACTCCAGCCTTGGACTTAATGGACTAGTCTTCAGCCCTTAGGGGCGTCTTGCTGGTCCACCCGCGGCCATTAGCCTGGCCTTTGTAGCTAAGGAACTGACAAAGCCCCTGGGAATCGGGGGCTTTCCTAACCGATGAACCCACGTGTGATCGTGAGCTCGGAAGCTCACGAAGCTTCCTGAGTCGGTAGTCTCCTGACTTGCTGCTGGGCCAGGGAGGACGCCATACTTCTACTTGGGGTCCCTGGTGGGGGCCTCCCTCGCCAAGCGAGGGCTCCAGCCTCCACACCCTCCCCCTGCCTAGGCAGTTTTCGGAACATTGTCTAGAACTTGCTCTGATTCCTGTCAGTTACCCCAAGGCTGAAAACGAACATGATGAAACATCCAGGCAGGGGACATGAGCAGCAGCACCCAAGGTCACCCAGTTGCCCAATAAAAAGGGACAGACTGGGTATTGCAATGCCAGCCCCGGGGGCTTCATCTTCGGAGCTTCTCCTTCACAGCAGCTTCTCCTGTTGAAACATGTCCTTTAACAGACATCCCGCTGTGGTCCCTGCCTATCTGCCCTCAGACTTGGAACTTTCTTAGGGCCCATGGGTCTTCCCTCAAACCCCCAAAGCCTGTGTTAAGCCTGTGGTTCTTTCTGCATGAGCCTCTCCTGCCCTGGCTCCTCCGAAGGAGCTCCCCCAGGTCTCAGCGAAGGCGTCCCCGTGGAACGCCCATCCCCTGCCACCGATCCCTGGTGGGAAGGAGGACCGCGGGCCCCTCTGTCCCAGTGACCATGTCATTTCCTTCCAGCTGTCACCGTGACTGATAGCTGCTGCAGTTCCATCTTTGCCCCACAGCTCCCCGAGAGAGAGAGGCTCCATGGCACAGGGTTTTAAGGGGTTTTGTGCACAGTTGGATTTTGGGGCCTGGAACTGGCCCAGTGACGTTTCATGGGATAAATGACTAAATAAGGGCATACATTCAGAGATTCTTAGTAAATGTTTTTCTCAAAGGTTGCCCCAAAGCTCATGCCTTTTGACTATTGGCCCAAACCCCGTTTATGCCTCTGGGTGAATTCTGGGGAATAATTCCACTTATGCATATTTCTGCCCTTCTACTCTTCCCCTTGTAGGCAAATTGCCCACTTGGTCTTTTGCAACGTCTCCTCTGTCCCTTCCCAGGGTGCCCTGCGCACTGCGGGTGTTTTCACAAGTTGTCTAAGGAAGCATCTATCTAGTATAGCGTTCCTTCTAAATTTAGAAGCGGCCCCGATGTTTTCGATTCATCTTCGATAACGACACCGAGCGAGGTTTCTAAATGACTGTCTCTAGGCGGCTGTACCTGCCCTGCATAGTGCCAGACAGAGAGACACAGGCCTGGGTTCTGCTCCAGGGCCAGCTGTGTGATTCTGGCAAGTCGCTGACCACTCTCGTCTGTCACCTCTGTGAGGTGGGGCATCGCCCAGGGCCCTCAGAAGCAGCCCCGGCGTTCCCAGCTCGGTGGGCGACCCCCGGGCAGTCCTGCCCAGAGTCCACATTCAGCAGCTTCCCCCTCTGCCTCTGACCACCCCGTAGGCTCCAGGTGCCTGCGTTTCCCTGCGGGAGACCTGCATCTTATGAATAGGGAGCTGTATGTTATTTCTAAAAGAATGAAACCCATCGAGAAGTTGAAATGCTACAATGCACATACACCCTTCACCTGGATTCCTCCCATATTACTTTGCCACATTTGCTCTCTGTCTCTCTCACGTTCTCTTTCTCTTTATTTATAACCTATATTTTTTTCTTTCAGTGAACCATTGAAAGTTATAGGCATGCCAATGCCTAACCTCCAACTCTGTCAGCATGTATCTCCTAAAACTAGCCCATGCTCCCACACAACTACAGCGTTGCTGTAATGTCCGAGAAAACAGATGTTGACACACAGTTATCTATCACGCCGTATGTATTTGAATACTGCTCCACCATCCCAATAGTATCCTTTCCAGTTCTTTTCCCTCCATCACATGTTGCGTTCAGTCACCATGTTTTCTTAGCCAACTGTATTCTACAACCTGACTTTCATCAGCTTCCTAGTTTCTCCTGGTGGTGCCCTGGGCGGCCGGCAGGCAGCTCCTTTCTGCAGAGGGGCTTCCGTGCCATCACTTTAAGCCTCTGCCAATTAAATCCTAGTCCACGGCAGCGTAGGGACGGGAGTTCTGCTCCGGGGTTGACTCGGCAGCGACACAAGGAAGCAGAAATAATTGGGAAACCCAGAAAAGAGAAGCTGCGGCCCCTCGAACCCAGTGAGCTCCAGGGACCGTAAGCACAGCCCCCTAGCCTCCTCCTCCTCCTTTTAGTTTAAGACAAAAATGTCCCGGGCTCTGAAAACCGGAATGTGGCCTGCACATGCAGAATGAAGCTGCCCATGCTCCCGGTGCCTTGCAGAAAAATCCCTAATGCTGCTCTCTTCCCTGTCCTTGCAGAAAGAAGGCTGCTCAGAGTGGTTACTGAAAACAGGAACCTGCCCCTCTGCGAGGCCCGCGCCTTCCTCGTTTCTCACAGAGGAAGCGTGCGGCATGTGTAGCAACTGCTGCTCTTCTTGATAGCATGGGCTTGTCTACACCCGTGGGAGGCCCCGCCGCCTGCTCACTCTGCCGGAGCAGCTGCAGCTGATGCAGAGGCGCTGACGGCGATCCTGGCACCCCCTCGTCGGCTACTCCCAGGGGAGACCATGTCCAGCCTGTGAAGGTATCTCGGGGGACGTGGCGGGGGCTAGGCGGGGAGAGACATCAGGAGCCCTTAAACACACAGCTGGCAGGGGGGTGGGTGACTTTTTGGAGAAAGAGAAGCTCTCGGTGAGAACAGGCAGGGCAACGTCTGTGAGGAGGCCCGGTGCCTCACACGGGGCTCAGCGCATCCCAGCTGCTCAGGGGATATTTAATGCATAACGATAGAGCCAGGAGGGCTGGAGGACTGGAGGCCTGGGACAGGCACGTTCCTGCCAGGGGAGGTCCTGGAGCTGCAAGCAGCCTGGCACACCAGTCTTCTTATTAAGGATCGCTGCTGCTTGCTCTCAGACTTTCTTGCAGTGTGACCTTGGGCAAGTCAGCCTAACCTCTCTAGGCTTTATTTTCTCCTCCACGGAGTAAAAATAATAGGACTCCGTTCACACAGGTGTTGGGTAGAATGTATGAGCTAAGAAATGCAAAGTGCCCGGCCAGTTTCAGACACAAAGGAGGTGCTCAATGAATTCTATCGGTCAGGATCATGAGGTCTAAAGGTGCATGGAGCCCAGAGAGGCCGAATGACCACTGTAATGCTTCTGGGAGTTTGGCTGCGTGAGCCTTCTTCAGGCAAATGCCAACAATAATTGATATAGTGAGCGATAAATATCCAAGTAGGTGGTGTGAATGTGTATGGGGCGAGGGTAGCATTAGAAAGGATTTGCAGAACTAGATTTCTCTCAGGGATGTGGCACACTCCATATTCTTTGAAGTTCCTAGGTGTTCAGAAGTCCTGGTGTGTCAGGGAAATGACCATGGCCTTGGGTTCAGCATGTCCTGAATTGGGGTCACGCACACAAAAGGGAAGGGACGGTGTCTGCCAAGTGGCACAGGGGGCACGTTGCATGAAAAGCTATTTTCCTGCAACCCTGAGGACAATTCTGTAAGACTGTAATTATTAGTTGCTTTTGACAAATAAGAAAACGAGACTCAGAGAGGTTAAGTGATTTGTCCAAGCCACACAGCAGTGAGAGGCTCCGAGGGCTGACTGGGGAGAGTCTCAGTGAGAACGAGAATGTGAAGGACCAAAGTGTGTATTTAAAGCAGTGCTCTTTGTTTTAGAAGAAATGCCCCCCATATTCTGCAAATTGTCATTCTGTGGTGTGCTCTGAGATGCTGAGCGGTGAGCCTCCTAACTGGGCTGTGGTCCTTTTAAAATTGGGGAGGCAAGCCCAAATCAAAGCTCTTGTAAAATCTTTTGCAAGTGATACTCTCCAGTGAGGAGAATGCTGTTCACGAGTGCTTAGTATGTTCTGGCCGGCATACTACTACTAATATTGAAAACCCATGGAACAGACAGACTGAGATCTATTTAGACTCTTGCATCTTAAACAGACGTAGAACCAGGTCAGCAAGACAGCTGCATGGAAAGTCTCTGACTCAGTCAGGCACCCACTGGGCAACCTTCTGGGCCAGCCACCAAAGCGCTGTGTGACTGTGGGCAAGTCACTTTGCCTCTCTGGGGGTTAGTTTCCTTTTCTTAAAAAGACGACCAGCTTACTCATGTGTCTGTAACAAGATTAAATTATATACAACGTGTAGGAGATGCTAAATACTGAATTGTGGATAAGAATAGCAATCTTAGCCCAGACAATTGAAGTACCTCAAGTTACTTGGGTTCTTCGAGGCCACGTTCACTACAGTGGGTCACACTACGTAACCACACTCCTCCATTTTTCTCAGTGCTCAGTTCTGCTTGTTTCCCCATGGGATACAGCAGACAATGCAGACCTGGGGGGGTTTGCATTGCAGCAAACTGAAATCATTTTCCTAACAGAGAAAAAATTTCCCCTCTCTGAGTTTTGAGAGCTGGCAATGTATTTCAAGGGGAGTGTACTTCTTAAAGACTTAGAAATTATTCATTCTGGTAAACCCCAGTCAGCTTCCTGCATTCATAAATGCGGCTCGGTTTTAATTTTTCATTTGACATTCAGCAAGAATTTATGTCCCCCGGCTCTGAGAGAGGCCAGAGCTTAGAAATCTCATTAAGGATTTCCAGCATGTCAGTCCAGGCCATTTGGCTCTTGTCAGCAAGCTGAGGGCCCTGTTAGGACTTTTATCCATCCATCTTCCCCTCCATCCATCCATCCATCCATCGTCCCATCCACCCATCCCTTCCATTAATAAACATGCATTGAAGCCACACCATGTGACTGACTCTCTCCCCAGGAGTCCCTAAGGAAATCGCACACTGGGCCCAAACCACTTCCTCCCATCTGAGAGCCAGCAGGGGAGGGGGCTTGTTTCACTATGGTAACTCGAGCTGCCGACAGAAACTGTGGGGCCTTGAAGGCTCATTGACTCACTTCTGTTGTCGAACAGTTTGGCAAAGTCATGGCCCCCTCCTCAGCCCCTTCCAGGCTCCTGAGGCCCCGGGCAGGAGGAGCACTGGGGGCTGTGCGGGAGGCGCCGGGGGACTCCTAGAGCTTCGGAGGAAAGTGTCCTCCCAATGGTCCGAAGGGGGAATGGCCACCTTGAGAAGGACAGGCTGCCCCTGAGAGCGCAGCCGGTGCCAGGCACCGTGTAGGCAACACCTCCAGCCAGCAGGCCGCACTGAGCGAGCACGTACTATGTGCCAGGCACCTGCTCAGTCCTGGTTTTCCGCTGAGGACTGTGACAGTGTGGACTGTGTTCTCAGGGAGTTTACAACCTAGGGGCTGGAGACACTTGAAGGAATAAATATGCAATGACCACTGGAGGTGTGCACTGCATAGGGAGCAAACAGACCCCAAAACAGAGAGCTGAGGGGAACCAGTTTGGCCAGGGAAGTCTGTTAAATTTTAATTCTCACACTAATCCTGGGAGGTAGCCACGCTCCTTCCTGATTTACAATGTGCCACGTCCCCCTACTTTTCCCCACCTACCTCTCCAAGTCACGTGAACAGTTGGCTTAAAACTTACATCCTCTGAATACAAATTCCAAGCACCCCAAGTGCCAGGACCCAATTCTTGATTTACAACTCGGTCAATACGCCAGCGGGTCCATCCACTGAATGCCTCTAGCACACAGAGAAGTAGCAATGTGAGCTTGTCATAATAAAGGACAGAGACAGCTTTCTGCAACCCTCCATCCAGTCCCTATGCCTGACAGCAGAGCAGTTAAGGGCCAGCCAGGGTCTGCAGCCAGGCACTTGGGTTCAAATCCTGGCTCCACCTCTTACTAGCTGGGTGACTCCAGACAAATTATGTAAATGCTCTGCCCTTGGTTTCCTGCTATTCAAAAGACACAATGCTAGTGATAGGCCTCTCTCGGGCACAATGACTCTTCAGGTTTCACCTGCTGCTGCTCATTTCCTTAAGGAAGATCCGCCGTGTTCCAGCCAGGAGTAAAAGCACATCTGATATCTCTGTCCTCACAGCACTCCATCACTCATCCAACGATGACACAAACCTTGTTAAAATTATTGTGCACCGTGAGGGCAAGGCACGTGTTCTGAGGAGGGAAGGAGGGAACGGTGAGCTGAAAGGGGGGGTGAGGGAGGGGCGAGGGCCCTGAGCGGGAGGCTCAGTACCCACAGAGGCTGTTAGGAGGCAAAATACATCGTAGATTTCCATCTCGCTCGGTGCGTTTAGGAGCCACACTGGTGATCCGCGTGTGTGAATACAAGGCAAAGTTGCGTCTTGCTGGGGAATGCGATATAACGAAGAAATCACTAACTCGGCAACCCCTGGGCCCTCGGTTGTCCAGACTGCCGTTAGCACCTCCGCGTGACTCGCCACCCACCTTCTTTCTAATGAAACCTGCATTTGCTAGGGTCTACATTTGAAATGAAAAGAGAAAGCCTGCTTTGAACTCACCATTTTCCCATGCTGCGAAATTGTGCACCTGTGTCATCTAATGTCAAAATAGCTGTTTTTATGGCTGTTTTTTCATTGTCACCGTGTATAGCGTCAGCCGGCTTCCGGGTGCTGTGGGCGTCCAGGACCTGGCCTGGGCTCTAACCCCATCTGTGGCCTGGTTTTTGGCAGCAAATGTGTTTGGGGTCCAACAGTGTCACAGACAAAGTGGCACCATATCCCACCAGCCCTGTGTCTTGTGGGACCCCTGTATATGAAAAGCTGTTCTAGGAAAGAAAGAAGGGGGGCGGTGATTTTTACTTTTGATTTCAAAGAGATATAGATTCCCAAACTCCCACCAGCTCTGGGCAGCAAAGGCACGTCCCTGGTCACACGACCCGTCAGTGCAGGGACGAGCCTCAGAGACCCTGTCACGTGCTCACCCTGTAACACCTGCCTTCTAATCCTCACTTGGGAAAACCCAGCAAAGCAGACATGGCTATGTCCATTTCTAAAATAAAAACAACGGAAAGAAGTTTAGTGACTTAGTAAGGGGTAAAACTGGAACTTTCCCCAGCACCAACTTGCCCCAAAGCTGGCTTCTCCCTGTCATATCCTAAAATGACCATACAGTGGTTTATAGGTTGCTTCCGTCCTGCTCTTAAGGGAAAGCCGAGCCTCCCTGTTAGCCTGAAAGTCTCCCTTTTGGGTATCAAGAGGTAGAGGGGATCACAACACAGGCTCACGGGTGGAGGTGTCAGACCTGGGAACCCAGCTGACAAATGGACAATAGCTCTCCTGCAGTGGACAGAGTGCTGGACAAACTTACAGAGCACTTGTCCAAACTTACTGAGTGCCCTTGAGCAGGTTGCTTGCCCTCTCTGAGCCTGTTCTTTGCAACACGAGGGCACTGAATTGCTGTTTTTCCATTGGCGCTTTATGGAATCCTAGGACTGGGGTGTTGTCTCAGGAGGCAGAGAGCGGCAAGAGTGCTGGCCGCCCCGCTCCAGCCACGAGCTTGCTTTTATCCATTTTATGTTCAGAGCTTCTGGAGCAACTTTTTAAAGACAGGTTTCAAGCCAGCAGGTCTGAAATCCCCTGGCTGAGTCAACCCCAGGGTCTCCCCCACGGGGCGCTCAGAGCCCCCGATGTTGCATGGGAGGGGGCGGAGGGGAGGAGGCGGCGAGG